ATTGTGTTCTGTCATGATAATGGAAAAATAAATTATTCTTTTTCTAAATCGTACACAAACACTTCAAACATAAACACGCGGTATATCTAGTTTATGGTGAATACATGGCAATTAATTTTGGAGATAGTATCCAATTTAAAGCAGTAGTGCTCGAAAAGAAATTACACTCAAAGGTGTACCAAATTAGATAAAATTCAAACGCGAAGCATGTATTTTTGATATAAAAGACTCAATGTCATAATATTATTCTAACTGAATTTAAATTCTTATAATTATTCCAATTTCCTTATTAGCCTTTTATACATGTTCTTTTGTAAGCATCAGTGTTTAGTGAGGAACTTACTGAACTGAATAATTAGCTGAAAAACATAATAACAGTGACTTTATTTTTACGGTAGACGGGTTCTTATTGTAATGATTACACAGTATAGCCATCATCATGCAAGTGTTTTTGAATGCAACTCTTACCTGCTGATGACTTGTTATTATAGGTCGAAAGTAGTACGTATATAAATCACAACTCGCATATTGTAAAATTTCTCTTGTGTTTCTAAATATCAATTTCGAAACATACTGAAGCTCAACACTGTGAGATGACACTTGGGAAAGTTCCTGTTGCCTCTCAAAATAGAACTTTTTTTAGTTTTGACGAAATCACGTTTAATGTAAAAGTGCATTCCACACCAAGAAACAGGTTATACTCCATAATTCTACACTTTTCTGTGGTGTAAGATATCTTGGAATCATATTTATAGTGTTATAAACGGTAACTTTCTTACCACAGCTTAAAAGACATCGACCTACTTCTTAATCAGAAAATAAACCAATACAATTTTCTATTAGGCTTAGTGTACCCAAACAATGGCAAAAATTAATTCTTCCTTGGTATAAGTTTCGCAAACAAAAAATGGTCAGATTGGCTTAATAACCTTCCCAAATTTCAGTTTGAATAGACTGAATAGTATATACTACATACGGTTTAGGAAACCTTCTGATAAATATTTTCCTTTAAACAGGTTTGTTTTCGCTTATGACTTTCATGTTTTGAACGTCAACCGTGATGCTTTTTCATTATCATTATTACACTGCCGTTTTAAAACTAAAGCAATTTGCAAGCAAGAACGATTATTTATTTTTACCAATATTTTCTCTATCACCCCTGCCACCACCGCGTATGTAATATGTTAATTCGCTTTTAAAGCCTTGTAGTTTCAATATTATTAGATACTGTTAAACATTTTCTGTAAGATGTCAGCTCAAATGTAGCTATCTAACTTTCCATGTTTCTTGTGTTCAGCTTTTTTATTCAGGTACATAGGTTGAAAAAATATGCGTCTACAGCTTAATTGTGTGTGTGCGTGTGGTATGTTTCAAATTCTCAGTTTCCTTGTAAATAAAGAACAGTTTGTACATTGGTTAACTAAAAATTTTGTTTCACTTAATTGTATCCCTGAACCAGTTACAATATTTCAAGATGTTGTCTTTAATATTTTACAGCAAACTAAAATGTAGGACACATGTCAACGAACGATCTGAGCATATGATTTTTATAACGTTGTGTCGATGTTTTATTATTATTTCAGTAGATTTAATGTTCGTAAAAAGTGACCAGCAATTCACACAACTCATGGAGTAAATAAATATGATACTCAATGGAACAAGGAGGTAATAGGTATAGGAGTAAAGGGGGGGGGGGCTGTATCAATATGAAAAACTTGTTTCTAAGCTCCATGCGAACTAAACAAACCAGCTAGTATCGTGTACCTACTTATTATGTGATGCAAGATAACAAACGATTCAAAAACATAGTACATTCACCCACCCACCCCTTCCAGGCATATTTTAACTACGGTATTAAAAAAAAAACAAGAAGGAATCCTCAATAGACGCGACATTGGAAATTCTTTTAGGCAGGATTAGAGTAAATTAATCTATGAGACCTTTATTTTTCTTTTTATTAGCTATATTTTTGTGCGCCAGCAATACCAAGCGTGGAGCGCGTATATACCCAGTTCGATTTTATTACTAATCAGGATCTCTACCAGCCTACCCTCAAATTCAAATTTTTTAAGGCCGGATTAGAGTAAATTAATCTCAGTCCTTGGGCGTGTTCAAATAAATCAATCGAAAGGGTTTGACCTCCTAAGACCAAGACGGTAATTATATCTCAAATTGGTCAGGAGATGACGAAGCTATGAGATAAAAGTTTGTACTTGAAAAAAACTCAGCGCCGTTCTAAGAGATGGAGCTATGAGATAAAGTTTGTACTTGAAAAAAAAACAAAAAAACTAAGAGCCATTCTATGAGCCGCGGCTAATAAACAGCGTTTTTTGTTACTGGTTTTTTTTCACGAAATTTAAACGTACATTCTAAAATGTTTTCAATAACAATATATTTCCATTAAGCTGTAATCATATTAAATATTAAAAGTAATTATATTGTAAAGATATAATCTTTTTTAAGTTTTGTTAGAAAAGTATTCCTACTGAGCAGTTGACAAAAAATGACGTTAGCAAAACTTATCCAGTAATGATAAAGCAGAAGCTTGCATCTAACCTATATACAAGCCAGTGTGTGTCACGTCACGCTTGACTTCTCGAAATAGTCATAAAAGCCAAAATGCATTTATCCAGATAGAATAGTTTAATTATTGTCTGCCCATTACTACTTTAGTGATGGTGCTGCTAGGGGACTGTGGGGAGGGGGGGAGCGTGAAACTTTATAAGTGTAGTGAGTGTTTGGGAGCACCTAAATTAAAATTCATAAAAAGAGCTACTACTCACGCGCGAGGTTGAAGGGGAACAAAAGTTCCCGAACATCCATCCTAGTTGGGAAGGGCAGACAAACCTAAAAGCTTGTTTTCTCTTCCTTAAAACTAAATTACTGCGACGGTTAGTTTTTTTTTTTTTAATCACCTAGACTAGAGCCACGTGCATAACATTTAT